TATTTTCATGTTCTATTGTTCTACTAATAATCACTACCTCAAAGTTTTTTTTTCTTGGATATTATCTTATCTGTACTTCTTTAAGTAGATTTTCTTGCTAAAATCTAACATTTTCACTCTCTTTAAAATTGAACTGACACCAAAACATCTTACATATATTGGAAATCCTCATCAGAAACTGTTTGTTTCTCTAATGACCCCAGGACCAGAAAACAGGATGTATTCTTTTTTCATCGTTTCTAAGTCCTATTTCCTGCCATGTCTGATATAAAACACGTTTTAAAGTTTAAAATAGAACAGAGGTCAACATAAAAGACTTTAGAATCCTGGTCTTTGTTTCTTATTTCTGATCTTTAATAATACAACAAATAGTTGAATTATTTCTCTTTGTCATACAAAGAATGACAGCTCTTTTTTTTTTAAATCATAGGTTAGAACTTCCAAATATGTAAGCACAAATATCAGGAAAACATCACAACACAATGTAATCAAAATGAAGTATAACATTCTTAACTTCCTCAAATCTTCAAAACAACATTCTGCATTATTCCTCGGTTCTCCACAGGTCCTGTTTTGACATACAACATGTATTTTCAGTCTAAACTCTTTTCTCATGCCTAAAATAGAACTTATTCTCCTGGGAACATACTCTGATGACTTTCTTCTTTCTTAATTGCATAGTCAAAGAGGATCATCTGAAATATTGAACAACTCACCAGTCAAACCAATTTGAAAACAGCAGCCAGCCTTGGCATCTTCCTATAGCATCTGCAGCTCCTGCTTGTTTTCTGTTCTACAAAGCTTGTCTCCTTTGGGAGACATATTCTCCTCACCACTTCTCCCTCCCTTCTCTCTCCTGTCACCTCTCTCAGGACAAGTAACCGAAGTTTTATTCTCCCTACCCCCCAGAATTCACTCACCCTCCAACTCCCTCACCTTTCCTCCCTCCATTATTCTTTGTTCAGTTGCAGAAATCCTAGGAATTCTGGACTTCATTTTAATCGTTGAAAATAATCTAGTTCATCTACTCAGACATCTTTTAGTAGTTTTGAGGTGAAGAATTGGTTAAAGGGAGGCTTAAACAAGAGAGGATTGCTTTTTAAAAGAAAAACAAGGGGTCTATCACAGAGGCAAGTGCTGTGGGATGGTCTGTATGTCAAATGTGTTGCTGATTGGTCAATGAATAAATCACTGATTGGCAGTGGCCAGGCAGGAAGTATAGGCGGGACTAACAGAGGAAAATTGAGAGAACAGGAAGCTGGAGAGAGAGACACTGCCAGCGGCCATCAGGATAAGGAAGATGTAAAGTACCGGTAAGCCACAAGCCACGTGGCAAGGTATAGATTAATAGAAATGGATTAATTTAAGCTGTAAGAACAGTTAGCAAGAAGCCTGCCACGGCCATACAGTTTGTAACCAATATAAGTCTCTGTGTTTATTTGATCGGGTTTGAGCAGCTTGGGACTGGCGGGTGAGAGAGATTTGTCCTGACTGTGGGCCAGGCAGGAAAACTCTAGCAACAAATGGCGTCCAACGTGGTGGCAAGAGTTTCCACCTAAAAACTGAGAAAAAAGATTCTAAAACAGAGCTAAAAACAGTTCCTAATTGTTTCTCTCAAATGAGCGGCAGCTGCCGGTTTGAGCTACTGGCGGGTTGCTGGCGTGTGCGCTCGACCTGCAGTATGGCGGGAATGAGGCCTCTGCAAGTGGCACATTAAGCTACATTGTGGATTTAGCCTTTGCTAGTACAAAACAAAAGAGGTTTCTGGGCTACACGCTGCTTGGATAAAAGCATAGACCCACGATAGCTCCCAGAGCTGGTGGTAAAGTACCATGCCATGTTGGGAAGCTGAAGTGGGCGGAGCCAGCAGCCACAGCTGCTACAGCTTAAAGCAATAGATTCACAATAAGACAGATTCAGATGTAATAGTTTAAAATGTGTGTAAAATATACGTAGGCTTAAAAGAGACAAAAAAAGGTGATATATACAGTATAGAAACAAATACATGGTTTTAAAAAATAAAGTCTTTAAAGAGACAGTAAAATTAATATAAAAAATAAGCCACATAGAGATGATTATTACACAGAGAGTCTGGATTATGTTGTCTTTGGGATTCTTAACTACAGAGAGATATTTGATTGTAAAGGAAGCTGAGTTAAACCAGTACGTATATTTTAAAGATACTTTGACTTCAAAATTTGGATGTAAGGATATGTTGCTTTGGAAAAGAGTCTCTTTTGTTTCCACAGAAAGCAAGAGGCTATGGATTTGTTCCAGAGTAAGATACATCAGGTTTGACCAGCCAAGACCCCCTGAAAGGTCTCCGATGACACCATGGCCCAGATGATCCAACATCCAGAACCGTTTCAAGACAACTGGCTCAGATGATACAGCCTCACGGACTACTCCATGATCCTAAAATTTTCTTTGTTTCCCCAGAAGATACAGCGCCCCCTCCAGCAGGAAGTAGTAAGAGAAGCTACGCCCAAATTCCCAAATATACCAAGCTGACTTTGGAGATGTGTAAAGGTTAAAACCTTCCTTTTTAAGAAAAGAAAAGGGGAGGTTCTGTGGGATGGTCTGTATGTCAAATGTGTTGCTGATTGGTCAATGAATAAATCACTGATTGGCAGTGGCCAGGCAGGAAGTATAGGCGGGACTAACAGAGGAAAATTGAGAGAACAGGAAGCTGGAGAGAGAGACACTGCCAGCGGCCATCAGGATAAGGAAGATGTAAAGTACCGGTAAGCCACAAGCCACGTGGCAAGGTATAGATTAATAGAAATGGATTAATTTAAGCTGTAAGAACAGTTAGCAAGAAGCCTGCCACGGCCATACAGTTTGAAACCAATATAAGTCTCTGTGTTTATTTGATCGGGTTTGAGCAGCTTGGGACTGGCGGGTGAGAGAGATTTGTCCTGACTGTGGGCCAGGCAGGAAAACTCTAGCAACAGGCAAGCAGTAGTATCAAACAGTACAGTGGTGAAATGGGAGGGAAGCACACAGGAGGAAGAGCACACCTAATGTAATATTTGTAAACCATAGTTTTATTCTTGATATTAAGCTTTCTTACATTGAGAGAGACAGATGCCATTAACATGTTTGAAGAGGAAGCCATTGGTATAGTAAATTTGATGGAGATAGACAATGTGAGAAAGGCGTTTTGATAAGGTTTAATAATTGACTGGAGATTGGAATAGTTCCAGTGTTGTTGATGTACCTGAAAATGAAGGATAGATTTATTTTAACAGTTTCTCAGGGGCTTGATTATCTCTCTAGGTAAACTCATCTAGACTCACATTGATACATAAACTCTACTTAGACTATTTTGAATTCAATACATTTCTTCCATCTGGATACCATCTCAGCATGATAAACTCATGTAACTATTTTGCTTAATATTTCCATTTATATGTATAAACAGAATTACTAAGTCCAAAGTAGAACTTGTGATTTTACTCACATCTCTCCTTTTTCCCAACACATTTCCTTCCAGTGTCAAATTATCTTGAATGCCCCTCTATCTACTGTGCTTCTCCATATGTGACTGACTTATCCAAAAGTAACCATTAAAATTGGTAGCCCTTTGGCTGTTATAGTATTCATTCTTACAAATGATCGGACAACTAGAGGCAACTTAACAATGAGGAATTTATTATCTTATAATAATAATACATCAGTAAAATGGATGTATTAGGACAAGGCTACCAGTATGCAAATGACTTACATATTCAGTATTTCATAATCTATTCTTTTAAAAGCTAAAGGTGGGTTTCTGAGAGAGAGACAGACAGACAGACAGAATTTGAAAAAAATAGAAAGCACATGGTCCATTACAAAAATTGTTAAATAGACCAAAGATCATGGTAATAAGGAAATCAGGACAACCAATGTCCTACTCTGTCCTTGCAATCATATCCATACACCACAAACAATGCACACATCTATTAATGTCACATAAACATACATATGTACACACACATAGAATCAAGAGGTGTGTTTGTTGCTCCAGCACAGGTCTGTTAAGGAGCCAGTCTGAACATTGATATATGGATTATTTTATGTTCTTTTGGATTTGTTCATTTGGTGTGTGTGTGTGTGTGTGTGTGTGTGTGTGTGTGTGTGTGTGTGTAAAACTGATTTTGATTTTTCTGGGATAAATGCCTAAGAAAAATTATTAAGTTTCATTTTTCAAGTACATGCTTATTTTTTATTATTTTAAATTGTATATATATGTATACACACACACACACACACACACACACACACACACACACACACACACATATATATATATATATATATATATATATATATGGGGGAGGGAGGTGCACATGAATGAAGCTACCTATGGAGGTCAAAAGATGGCATCAGATCCTCTGGAGATGGAGTTATAGGAAATTGTGAGTAACTCAATATGGATAGTGAAACCAAACTCAGGTCCTCTGCAAAAGAAGTCCATGATCTTAGCAGTCTCTCCAGCACCCAGCTTGTTTGTTTACTTAGACTGTTAAATTAGTGTTGTCTCTAAGTTTCACTAAGAAATTCTGGGGACTACATGAAGAAGACAAACTATTACTAATACTTTTTGACAGGATTTACATAGCTTATAATGATAAAGAATCAAGTTACAAAGCATCAAGAGACAAGGCTTTTAAAATTATTTTTCTAAGACTAATGCCATCTTGAGGAAAAAATGGTATTTAAGATGTTATGATTATATGCAGCATTTGACGTAGACATTTAGTTTAAGAATGAATGAAATGAAAGAAGGAAAACACTGTTTTTATATAAATGGCTGTTCCCCACCAAAGTCTATTTTAGGAAATCTACTAAAAGATTTATTTTGTATATATATATATATATATATATATATATATATATATATATATATATATTTCCTCCCATATACATATGGGAGGAAGAGGGAAAGAGAGAGAGAGAGAGAGAGAGAGAGAGAGAGAGAGAGAGAGAGAGAGAGAGAGAGAGAGAGTATGTAACACAGAACACATGTCAGGGTCAGAGAATAACTTGCTGGAGTCTATTCATACCATGTGAGATCACAAGATCATAAAGCTTGGCAGGAAGTGCTTTTACCCAATGAGCCATCAGTGACCCATCTCATCAGCCCTAAAAAATTTTCATTAAGAGTTTTTGATCACTAGGCATGAAATACTTGATCATCTAATCATCTTTGTACAATAAATTTATTAATTATTTTAGGTGTATGGTTGTTTTGCTTACATGCATGCCTGAGAACCAGCCAGTTGAGTGCTTGGTGCCCATGAAGGCCAGAAAAGGAAACTGAATCCCCTGGAATGGAGTTACAGATGACTTTAACCTGCCTTGTGGTGGCTGGGAGTCTGACCAAGGTCCTTTGGAAAAGTAGCCAGGGCTCTTAACTCCAGCTTGATGGGAATGCCATTCCGTATGCTGGGAATGTATGTTGCTCTGATTTGGTTGATAAATAAAATACTGATTGGCCAGTAGCCAGGCAGGAAGTATAGTATAGGCTGGATAAGCAGAGAGGAGAATTCTGGGAAGAGGAACAGCATGTAATGGCACACAGGTAAAGCCACGGAGCACGTGGCGATATATAGATTAACAGAAATGGGCTCAGTTTAAATGTAAGAGCTAATCAATGGTAGGCCTGAGCTAATGGCTGAAAAGCTTTAATAAATATAAGCTTCTGAGTGATTATTTTATAAGTGGTTGTGGGGTCTGTGGGGCTGGGCAGGACCAGAGAAAACTTCAGCTATACCAGCCCTAATTATTTTTCTTAAAATTACTCACACCACTATGCGAGTTCATTGAGTTCATTTATGATACAATAAATCAGTAAACCAGCTGCTTCATCTTTCAAAGAACACTGTGTTTTTTTAAAATTATCTATCATATATAATAAATCTTTAAGAGATTACTTAGCATATTCACACAAAGGTAGCCATTAAGTAAATAACAAATGTTTGCCAGCATGTGGACAAAAGAGAACCCTTTTACACACTGCTAGTTAGAGTAGGAACAAATCAAGCAATGATGCAAGTCAATACGGAGAGTCCTCAAAATTTAAAAAATAGATCTTCCATATGATCCAGCTATACCACTCCAAGGAATTTATCCAAAAGATTCGGAGTCAATATATTACTGAGAAACCTGTATTCAGTGTTTATTGCTGCACTACTTACAGGAGCTAAATTATGGAACAAATCTGGGTTTCCAACAGCAGATGAGTGCACAAAAGAAAATGTGTTATACACTCACAATGGAAATTTTTTAAGCCAGAAAGAATAACAGAACTTGAAAATCAAGGTAACTGGAGATAAATGTATTAAGTGAGTCATGTCAGTCTCAGAAATACAAATATCATGTTTTCTCTGAATTTGAGTCCTAGACTTATGGAGATACAGAAGTGGAAATGAAACTGTCTAGGGGAACAAAGGGCACTAATGAGGTGGGGAAGGGCTCAGAAAAGGGATGACAGACTATGAGGGGGAATGTATTCAACATCAATATACACATACACAAAAGTTTAAAACATGAATTAACTTCTGGTAAAACACCTGTGATGCGAAGGAGAAATAGGGAATAATGGAGAGGGATGTTTAAGTAGGGAGAAGGATAGGAGGATATGGCTGAAGAAGGGTTGTTGGGGGAGGAATAACTAACTCTAAGAATGTTTGAAAAACCCATATGGAAAACTACTATTTTACAAGCTTTGAGTTGTTGGTAAGATGTATCCTGGAGGCCCTCAAAATAATACAGGCTATTGTAATTTCTCTTGGTTGACCCATCAGAACTTGACAGCAAGAACTTATTGCTGAAGACACCACACACATTGGTCACGGGACATGAAAAATCAAGTTTCTCTTCGCTGACATTTTGCCTGCTGAATAGCTTTCAAAGACTTAGAAGCTTCTATGTTGGCTGCTCGGGAGAAAACATCAACAGTCCTATCCATCTATGAGCCCTGTGAGTTGCAGTAATGAACATCATGGCAAGATATGCCTATGGGTGCAATAGTAGCACCAATATTTGAACAGTAACAACTGATTTTTCATTGGATTTAAGGTCTACTTCATGAGAGGAAAGGCATGTCCAGTATTGCAGTTCTTGCCAAGAACCCAAGCTTCCAGAGCTCACAGGCTCCAGGAGTGAGCCTACTACTATTATTTTGTAAATGGACATAATATCAAAATGTTCTCTCAATTTGTATTTCTCTAATTGTACGTTAGTGTAGTTCTCAGACCTCCACAGAGAAGTTAATTTGTACAGTGGGTGGTGGCTTTGCAGAAACTCACAACTTATGAAAATACAGAGAACAATTGAACATGGAGAGCTCAGCTCATCAAAACAAATACAATGTCGATATCGCAACCCCCTCCCCAAAGCTCAGGGACCACTGCAGAAGAGGGCATGGAAAGAATCATAGGTTGAGGAGGACAGAAAAACTGTGTCTTCTGGACATGACAGGACTTCTGTACTCCCGAACTCACAGCAGCTGTGGTTGTCTGCACATAAACTCCACATAATGAACCCAGGAAATATTGTAGCATGGAGTAGGTAAGGGTGCTTGAACCATCATCCCTAACTGAGGAGCTATCACTGTGGCTTCTGGGGAAAGGAAAGTCAGTTTTCTTTAAGTCTGTGGATCCTGGTAGGTTGATCATGCTTCCGTGGGTGGCTCCACTTTCAGAAGTCTGTGAGCAGTACAAAATGAAGTCAATAGCTTATTAAACAAAAAGTTAAAATAAACAAAGAAGACACAGAGTTGTGAGGATAGAGAGTTGAGGGTGGATCTGAGATGGGTTAATGGGAAGAGCCAAGGGTTGATCTAGTCAAAATATGCTGTGAGATGGTATTTCTGTATGCTCTGAATATGTGTTGCTATGATTGGTTAATAAAGAAGCTGCTCTTGCCAATGGTGAGACAGGTTATAGCCAGGCAGGAAATCCAAGAGAGAGACAGGAAGAAGAAAGGCAGAAGTAGGAGAGACGCCCCCCTGCTGCCCAAGGAACAACATGCCAGCAGACTGGTAAGCCATGGAACATGTGGCAAAACATAGATTAATAGAAATGGGTTAATTTAAGATATAAGAGCTAGCTAGCAAGAGGCCTGCCATAGACCATACAGTTTGTAAATAATATTAAGCCTCTGATTGATTATTGTATAAGCAGTTATTATGGGTCTACGGGGCCGGGCAGGACCAGAGAAATCTTCCAGCTGTAAAAATACATTGTAGGAAAGATGAAGTAATTAAGGGGTTGGGTATTTAGATCAGTGGTAGAGTGCTTCCCTAGCAAGAGCAAGGCCCTGGGTTCGGTCCTCAGCTCTGGAAAAAAAAAAAAAAAAGACAAAATAACAAAAAGAAGTAATTAAAATATTTTTAAATAAAAAAACTAAAAAAAACACTGAAGAGTTCATTTAATAAGAATAATTGGAAACAACCTGAATGTCTATCTAGAAGGAAATGAATTTTTAAAAGAACATATAATTTATTTATAAAAATTTAAATAAATAAAACAGATCTGTAGAAAATACTAAAAATCATAATTTTGAATACAAAATCAAGTCACAAATGTTTAAATTCTGTGTATATTAACATTAGAGAAGCATTATCTAATGGCACTCTTTTGTGGTAATTGTAGGAATAGATGACAAGGAATGATAAACTTGATTTGAGATGACAGTCTCTCTGGAGAGGAAGTGGTTTTAGAGTTCAAATTCAGATGATGTAAAGAGCATCTACAATGTTAGAATCTGGCAGCATTAGGAGAATAATAGGTGGATGTCAGTGTGTGATTTTCAGGGGTTTTAAAAATGTATTTACCACATTTTGTATTAAAAAACAAGTGAAATGTTCTAAAGGATTGTATTTCAATTTTATTATTTAGATTAAGTTATAAACACATAATAATCGTTGTTTATCAAGACCTCAAAAAAATGGACCTATTTAAACAAATGCCAGTTCCACTCAATTTTTGAAATTTAGAATTATACATTTTAATCATTTTGCAATATTTCTCTTGAGAATCTACTCTTACAGATTGGTTATTTGTTCTATTTCTTCTCTTAAACACCAATAATACCAACAGCAAGAATTTTTAGAAACAATAATAGCATGTAAGGGAAAGGCATATAAAAATGCCAAACAAAAAATAGGCAGCTGATGAAGTGGTCGCCAATCATCTGGAACAGAACAAAACACAATCTGAAATGCATGTGTTTGGAGCTGCTACCAAGATAAAATAGTTTGCTTGATGGAACACAAGAAGATAATCTAGCCAAACACCAATAATTGGGAAGAGAGAGGAAGGAAGCCTAGGAGCAGGAAAGGCTCATGTTGACAGAGCTTTCCTTTTGGGCCACCAATTCCTAATCCCAAAGAAGGTAGGTCTGGGCTGTTCTGTAAAGAAAGGACATCACTCACCCTAAAGTAGATCATATCAAATGCAGAGCTCATTGTGGACCCTGTACTCTCTCAGCTTGACTTTCTCTTGCCTTGTTTTCAAATACAAATCAATAACCATAGATCGTCTTGGCATTGAAAGGAAAACTTGCAACATAAAAGAAACAGAAATACAAATAGACACTTTAGCATGAAGCAAAGAAATAATTCAAAGTAGTACTGCGTTGATTGGTATCTTCATTAAAAGGGATTCAATTCATTTAAAAAGAAGAATATGCATTGTACCTATGGTAGGAGGGAGTTGCAAATTTTAACTTAGTCTCCCGTCAGCGTACTAGGCTTTATTCTTCTTTGATCAGTGTGTGTGTGCTAAACATTCTTTTTCCAATCTTAAACAGCAATTGAAAGACTTGGTCACGTGAAAATAACTCACCTGCATTCTCTCCAGGTTCATAATATTTCATACTCATCCAAAGGCATATATAGTAGATGTTTAATGAGTGTTTCCCCTATGGTAAAAAGAAAAAAAATAGTAAAATGGCACATAATCCCCTATTCTGTATATACTAGATATATTTTTATCGTTAATCATCTCAGTTTGAAATTATACTGTTTGATTTTGGATAAAAGAAAAACTGACATCTTTTCTAACCTCTCTCTCTCTCTCTTTCAGTTTCTGCAAGTGCACATGTGCATGAGTCTGCTTAAGTATATATGCACTGCATGCATGCAGGAGCCTACAGAGGACAGAAGAAGGCAGCAGAACCCGTGGAACTAGAGTGGCAGGTAGTTAGTGTGAGCTGCCTGATGTAGTTACCGTGAAGCAAAACTGAATGCTCTAGATGATGATATGTGTATATGGTAGAGAGTTAATGCTTGCTCTTAACCACTAAGCCATCTCTTTTGTTCCTTTTGTGATCCTTTCAAACTAAAATATTCATTATTTTCTTCGTAATTCTCTGCTTGGCAATATGTGATGTAAATCCATATGCCTCCACTATCACTTCATATCTATGTCTATAGCTATTCAGATATACATGTAGTTCATAGAAATACTGGAGAGAGTAAAGTATGAAAGAAGGGAGGAAGTGAAATAAATGGAGCTTGAGTACTTTGAAAATTTATTTATTTTAAAATGCATAGAAAATTTTCTGTGAAAACATTCTTCACAAATGACTCCATCGCTACCCTAATTAATACCTAACATCTTGTAGAAGATGTCCCATTGTAACAATTTGGCTCTTATCAAGAACTATTTTATTCTTAAGTCTGCCATTGAATGTTAGAATGAAGTATATTAGATGAAATTCATTCTAGATTGCATTTACTCACCAAATTTAGATTATCAATTTATCTATGGGTTTAAAAATGCAAATTATGCCAGGCGGCAGTGACACACACCTTTAATCCCAGCACTTGGGAGGCAGAGTCAGGCGGATCTCTGAGTTCAAGGCCAGCCTGGTCTACAGAGCGAGATCCAGGACAGGCACCAAAACTACACAGAGAAATCCTGTCTCAAAAAAACCAAAAAAAAAAAGAAAATTATATAGGAGAATTCAGTGAACCTCATCAGGGGCAGATCCACAAAATGAACTAAAGGATTTTCTTGACATTTTCCTAAATTCCTTGTGAGTGTTTCTACTTAATCACCTGGGTTCTAGCATTTAGCTAGGATAAACTTCAGTTTGAAACTCATCATGGGCATCTTTCTTAACTTCTATAACCCAGAACTTCTGTCTGTCTTCCTGGTTTACACTAAGCTTCTTGTTTTAGGTTCTGTCAGTCTTGGATGCCAATGCTTTCTGCTCATCCTCTTCATTCAAGGTTATCATAATCTGATTTTGCCTTCTATTGCTTTTGCCTATATTAGTTATCAACAGTAAATGATTACTTTAAAATCACCATCCACCAAAAGGATACTTTTATTTTAAAAGGAGTATCATATCATGATGTAAATAAATTTGCCTGTAACAAGGGAACTTGGAGCTGTAACACAGTGAGACTTTTTGGGCTGGTTAGGAGAGATTTGGGGGACACATATAAGAAGAGGAACTTACATTTATCTAGAGCCTAGCCAACTGTAAGAAAACATGAATTTTTCAGTCAATGTCTATTCATTGCAAAACTAAAAATCCTGATTGAGCATTTCATTAATATCCTCAGCCTATTAACTTTGCATCATTGCCATTGTCATTTTTACTCTGGGATTTGATATGTGTTTTAGAGTTTTCCTTCCCTTTGGAGGGGGTGAGGGCAGATGTCTAAGTGAATAGAAGAAAAGTTATACTTCAGCAGGCATGACTGAGCTTCAGAATTGTGTCTGTGACTGGAGGGAGAACATGCTTGAAGGTATTTCAGGCCATAGCTCTCTGAAAGATCTTCCCACATGGCTCGCTTAGCTCTTACTTTCATTTTGTACTAAGCAAAAACTCATTTGAGGGCTATTTAGTGCTCTGGTTTGTGCTTTCTAATACCAGATAAAAGTTAAACAGATGAACCATTTGGGGGGTAAGAACTGGGAAATTCACGGCTGCTAAAATGCTTTAAAGTTCCAAAACGGTTTTGTTTTTTAAACCCATTTTCCATGTTCTAACAGCTGTGGGTTTTCCCAGGGCTCCCCCTGTGGCTCAAAAGGGAGCTGCTTAATGCTTAACAGATGAGCCAATTGAGTTTTTAAATGCAAAATTAAACTTAAAGTGCACAAAGAGCACAGGGGAATCCACAACCAAGAATAGACTAGAGGATGATAGTGAGCTGCAAGCACTGGACTGTGGGGGCACAGCCCAGAGAGGACGGGAGGAGCACATTTATTTTCTAATCATCCTCTGAACTGGTTGCAATTATATTCCACATTACCAATAAGCTTTTTTTTTTTTTAACAGCTATTGGCTTTTGATTTATTTGTATGTGCCTGTCTCCTTTAAGAACAAAAAGGGGGAACATAGATGGACAGCCTTTGTAGACCTAAGAACAAATGTGCTCTGATCTCCATTAGCAATGATGAGCTAAGGATAGAGGAGATGGTTTGGTTGATAGAGTGTCTCCTGTGCAAACAAGAGGACCTGAATTTGGGACTCTAGCACCAACAAAACACCCAGACATGCCTGCAATCCAGCATGGGAAAGCAGAGACAGCAAGATGCCTGGGGTTTGCTGACCAGCTGGGCTGGCTGAATTGGTATGCTCTAGGTTCAATGAATACAGTGGAGAGAGAGTGCTTGAGGAAAAGTCACAATGCCAACCATCCGTAGCCTACACACACACACACACACACACACACACACACACACACACACACACACCCCTAAACAACAATAACAACTAACCTAGAAATGGTGAAGTAATTTGGTTCACACACATACCAAAAACAAACATAGCAACAACAACAAAAACAATCAGAGATGATGAGAAAAATTCAGAGAGAGAGGGAGAAATTGTGAGACAATTTGGTTCTATCAATAATCCATGTTTTTCCTCATGTCCTTGCGTATCTCCCTTCTTGTGCCTGAGACACTCGTAGCTGATCTAGGTGCTCAGAACATTTTGTTTTCAAAGGAGGGGTGAGGGCAACCGTGAATTTACTACCTCTTTGTTTGTTTGTTTTTGTTTTTCAAGACAGAGCTTCCCCTTGTAACAGCCCTGGCTGTCCTGGAACCCTCTTTGTAGACCAGGTTGGCCTCAAACTCACTGAGATCTGCCTGCCTCTGCATCCAGAGTGCTGGGATCAAAGGCATGCACCACCAGGCTGGGCAAATTTACTACTTTTGCAGATGAACATGTTTGGTTGCTAGCACCGGTATGGGGAGCTTCATACCAGCTGTAACTCTATCTCCAGGATATGAGAAACCTTCTGGCCTCTATGGGCACCTGTACCGTATGTGTGTGTATGTCCCATCTCCTACCCCACATTATTACAATAAAAAAATCTTAAAAAAAAAAATAAATAAGGTCCAGAGAAAAGTTTGGACCAACATTGTTAGTAGATTTCTATGGTTCAAAGCAAATCTCTGAATGCATTGAGAAAAAACAATTGTCATTGTAAACACCCTAGTGCTGTCATTTCCCAATATCATCGAGTATAAAATGTCACAGTATAACTTCCTTTATTATGGATCATAACATGAACTGTTATTTTCCAAATCATGAGACTCTTGTTGACAGCCAATCTCCTTATTTCAAACCAATGTACAGATCAGCCAGTGAGGCTCTTTGGGCTCATAAATACCACTAAGCTTATGGAAAAATATGTACCCGAAGCTTTGATTTCTTTGTATTTTGGAATGATGCACCCCCCCCCCCCCCCCGTATGTTACATCTTAATTGTTTTGAGGAGTAATTTGTATGGTCAGAAAAAAATGTTGAAAAAAAAAAGAGTATTTTCACTGGAAAACTTCCATTGTGTAGATGCTACATTTCTTAGCTTTTTGAGTTTGAAAAATACTAAAAATCCTTTAAAAGTTTATACTTGAAGAAATCATTCTGTAAACACTGAAGTAGAAATTCCCACTGAAATACTAAAAAAAAAAGAGACTGGAAATTTTCACGTTCACACTTGCTATGCCATCAAGTCAATCAGTAAGCAGGGAAATCACAAAGGTGAGGTTACAAAGCTGCATGTGTGTATGTATACACACCTGTAGCTGCACATGCATGCTCTACAGACCTATATTTAATTACACATATCACTCCTTAGTTGCTTTCTTATCCCTAAGATTCTCTAAGTCATTCATTTCAAGATTGAGAATTATCATGATCCAGTCCCAATCTGAAAGAATGAAATAAGTTACAAATTTCGAAATAAATAAATAAATAAGCTATTGGGTGAATATTATTATTCAGGTGTGGTCTTCAACTTCATCCTGACACCAGCCAACTCTTCATTTTTAGGGAAATGCTTATTTCATCTTCATTTTTAAACTTGAAGTATTGCTTCTGAAATAGCAACTTTAAAAAATGGGTTGCAGATTAATATTCCTAGTCTGCATTTGTAGCTGTGTGGTATAAAGTGTATGCCTCTCAGGTAACTGGAGCCACTTGAGTCCCTGACTAAATTCTGTATTGTCAGCTTGTCTGAAGAAAGGGCATAGATGAGGCAGGCCAAGCAGAATTTCCCTGCATCAGGGCACACCCTGTAAATAGATTCTTTGCTCTGCCTTTAGAAAATGTGCTGAGCAATGGCTGTATTTCCCCAAGGAGCTGCAGTGTTGGGAATCAGTTAGTCATTACATAACATTCAGAGAAATCAAGTTAACTTGAATATGTAATGCTTGGATCCTATATCCACTCACACATGACCTCTTTGAAGGGATGACCATCAGAATATAGGTTTAACTAACAAGAATTTGCTCTAAGTATGACATGTTATGTGCTTGGATCTAATTCTAATCTATGCTCACTCCCAAAGGAGTTTATACCATTTGTGTAACGGTGTCTGCGTTTTTCTCATGGACACAAATGAAAAAGGCAATCTGCTCTGTTTCTGAATCAAATGTGTGGCTCTTTCCATAGTTCCACATTTGATGATTTTTTTTGTAGGATTTGGTTCGCAATATTTAGAACACATTGACATATATACACAGGCAAACACACGTACCTGTGTACCTGTAAATATATTACTAAATCGAATTTCACACACTAAACCTTTTAAACCCTTTGTTTAATCACTTGTCTCACACTTTATAGAATTAGAATAATTATATTTTTCTTCTCTGGTGAAACGTCAGCTTAATTCAATTTTTACTAGGAGATTCTAAATCATTAATCAAGTAGAGCACTATCATGGACTTTTTAAATTACTCAGCAGAGTTTTGGGGACTTTCGCAAGTCGAGGCTAACAAGCGTTGGAGCAAAAAGAAACAACTCTCTCTCCATGTTCCAGCAATTCAAATCCAACACTGCTTTGATGAGATTTTTAATATTCTCATGGGAGCAGCAGAACACTCACTGATGATGAGTTCAAATTACTTGCATCTTATTTATCTTAAAACCTGTCCCAGAACGTATTATTACATCATAGGCAGTAATGTACTTTGTCAATTATAGGAAAAGTGGAATTTTATCAATTTGCTCATACTTACCGTTTCACTATAACACTGTAAAAATGACCCGTATGTATGTAAAACATTTTGGAGACCCTGGTAAGGAGCAGATATGGTTAGTCAGATTAAAGTTTTAAGACATATTAACAAAATGAGGCTCCTATTTCAGTACATTCCTTGTCACTTTGCATTTGTTTTCAGGGTGGGTCTCTGATTTTCAACAGCAGGTGTTCATGTTGGGAGTTTACAAGCCGTGATCGGCACGTACATTCTCTGTGGGGAAAAATATCATAAAAAGCATGTTGTATGAAATGTTTAACGTTAGTAATAGAATCTCTTCTCTATTAGACTTATTTGCTTCAATCATCCCTACCATTCTTTTGTAAAAAAATAAAATTGTCCATAAAAAGATTAAACGTTAAAAACAGAATGGAAGCAATAGATAAACACAATCTCTACTCCCCAGTGAAAAAATAAAATATGCAAATATTAAAATTAGGGGACCCTGCTTCTTTTCTCTCTAACACAATTGATTAAATTGTCACTGCTGGAGATTACATGGGGTTTTATTCCCTTTATGGCCATATTCAATTGGACAGACAGAAAAATATATTGCCACAGACGAGACCCACCACCTGGGTACACTGTGCTTCCAGTCGCCTGTAGAGATCTTGTCCAAAAAATATCAGCTACGCTTTTTTATAAAAAATGAAAATATTAGACGTGATCATTTACAACAGATGTGCAGTACAGTTCTTTCAAGTGTCAAGCTTCCAACAAGATTAAAAGTCTATTTTTTATTTCTGACTGTTCCTTAACTCAATTTCTATGCAGTCTTTACCAACACACCCTTTTTATGTCTATAATAAACATATTTCATTCATTTTGCATGCAACTTTCATTTTTAAAATATGGACTGGACCAGTATGATGGCTCAGTGGTTTAAGGCACTTATTTCACAGACCTGGCAACCTAAACTTCATCACCAAAACTCATGCAGGAGTGTTAATGTTGCCCTCTGACCTTCTCATGCATGCTGTATGTGGCATAGACACACACACACACACACACACACACACACACACACACACACACACACACACACGTTAATAATAACAACAATAATAATAAATTTAAGAATTAAACAATAAAATCGATAAAAAATACATGAATTACCGATCTATCATTGTATGTCAACTAACATCTGTCTTATCCACATCTCCTTTTTTTCCACCTTTTTTCTTAGCTTGTAAATTATTTTATTTCTTGACTTATCAGTTTTAATTAAGAAACACACACATACACACACACACACACACACACACACACACACACACACACACACATCCACCACAGGCAACCCTCTTTGCCTGACTGTGTCTCCCACATGAATATATTTGTTTCTTATAAAAAGCAAAATTTTAAAAAAAGCTTAGAAACAGAAATATTACCTTTGCCTGTTCATGGCTAGCCACGGTTCCGAAAGGGTTTTCTCTGTCTGTCTCTGTGTATGAGAAGTTAGTGCTCAGTGACAATATAGCCAGCCCGTGTCACTGCACTGCAAGCTGAGCAGAGAGCTGTCGCCAGCTGCAGGTGCCGGGCCTCTGTGTTAAGGGTGCATGACAAGTTTGTTCATGGGATAGTTCTCCAATACAAAGACATATAGACACAAACTGAGGGACATGTAACAACTAAAAATGGTGGTTGGATGATGTTGTTGAATTTAAAAAAGGCAGAAAAAAAATTAAGAAAAAATAGTGAGTATGCTCCCTTGCAATCAATGAGTAGGAACCAGCAGGCTTGCCTAGAGACTTGTGGTCACTGTACAAGCGTCAATTTATTACAGAAGGGGAAGAATTATCTCAGTGAATTTTAGATGTTTACATGCATAGCTGGGAATATTTTGTTTTTGCTGTAAGGAAATGATACTTACATTTTTACTAGGGAAGGCAGCCATTATATTCGTTGATTTCTTCTTTATCTTTTCCGATTAGGAGGATGTTGATGAGTAAATATCAAGGTTCTCATTTCTATTATAAAGACAAAGAAGTTTCAAAGGAAAAGGAGTAGTTTCTCCATGCCCAACCCCCAAATTTTTTGCATTTGAAAACAAAGACTTGTGCATGCACTCAAACACACACACACACACACACACACACACACACACACACACACACACACACATTCCTACCATATATTGTTAAATAAACATACTACCTTCACTGGAGAATTTTAAAAAGCTTTCTAACTGTGTGTCTTTCTCCCCATTTCGGCTTCTCCTTTCGCTGTCAGCAGAGAAAGCACCGTCGGATGAGTGTTCTACTGACTTAAACCACGATGCTTTTAAATTGTTTAGTGTCTTTTTGTGTTTTTTGAGTTTTTCCTGTCTTTCCCCATGTTTCTTTGTTTTTCCTTTTGTCTTCTTCTTAAGACTTCCCAGGGATTTTGGTTATTATATTGTTCCCTATGCATTATCCGACTGCTCTTTGACAAAAGTTCCATATTTAATCTAATTCACTTGGCTTTTGTGCTTCATTTCCCTATAGTTTTGTAATACTGCTTTTATTTATTTTTTCATTCACTGGGCTATTTTGTTCTTGTATCAAAACACCACTCAAAAGTCAGGAGAGTATTACATGTAAATTTTGGCTGCTAAGTCCATTTTTTTATTTATTTTTATTTATTTTAAACATTTTTGGCTTTCTGTTTGTTTACTCTCTTTCCCAGTTCTGTCATTTTTAATTATCTTCTCAACTATTGCATAGCCTTTCCTATTACAAACAGCCCCCGGTGTCTCACTCTCTTAGGCATCTCATTATACTAAAGTGTAACTACCATTTATTCAACACTTTGAATAAGCACTGAATTCAAAATTCCCTTTATATCCTACTGAGCTCTTACAGCATGCAGTGCTAAAAGGTAGATATTCTTCTCTGACACACAGGTGACAGAGCCCAGTGACTTAGGTCTCCGCTGAAAACCACACAGTAACTATGATGGTAAGGATTTGCTCACAGAGGCACTTAACCTCAAATAACATTCTCTTTAATGAAACTACCTTAAGCCAAACAAACAAACAAACAAAAATCTTACACTTTGGAATTTGGTATGCACTGTGGGTGTAGATCAATGAATGGTAAAGGGCTTGCTTAGTATGTACAAGGCCCAGGGTTTGATTCTCAATAGAGAAAAGAAAAAAAAGGTAATTTTGTTAGGTAGAAAAGAAAATATACTCACTAGTTACTTGTTAAACTTCACAAATATAAACTCATCTCATTATTTGAATGCACTTAAACCAGAAATGATTAAATACAGATTACTATTTACAGTTTCTTTTAGCAGTGTTAATTTGTGATTTGAAATTAAACTCTAAATCAATTTGTGAACTTCAACAAAACTTGAATAAAAATAGTTCCAGCCTGTCTTTGTACACTGCTAATCTGTTGCCGTGGCTGCAAACACTTGCAAACTGTAACATAAAGTTTGTACTTGACCCAGAAATAAGGGACGGCCACTGTGGAGCCTCAGGTCTGCATTGTCTGCAAGCCCCAGAGCATTTTATCGGCCTTCCCAGCAATGACATCAGTGATCAAATATGTTTTCACAGTTGTCAAATAGTGGATCCGAATATAATCTCAGGCTACTTGCAGCTGCTTCCCCCCATCCTTCCTGCACATATTATATTTGCCTTCGGGGGAATAAGAAAAGTATGCGTCCCCTTATGTTCCTCGTTCCCACCTCTTGTTATAGTGATGACATGCAGGTGTAATTATTTAAACAGGCCACTTTGCAAGTACCATTTATCCACTTTTTATTCATTACTGCTTTCTTATTTTTGTTCTTGCAATATATTGTAATACTTAAAATCACATTTATTAGTGTGTGTGTGTGTGTGTGTGTGTGTGTGTGTGTGTGTATGCCTGTAGGTATCTGGAAAAGGACATGTGTGTGCCTTTGCCATGAGCATATATGAGGGTCAGAGGACAACTTATATGAGTCATTTTCTTCTTTCCCCACACGGGTCCCAGGTGAGCCATCTTGCTAGTTCTTATTAACACACACACACACACACACACACACACACACACACACACACACACACACACACACGAAGTAGACATGTACTTTGCATATTTACCAGAAGTCTTAAAAATTACCACAGCTATTGCCATGAAAAATGTATTTCTGCACTTTGGACAAGTGCTCAGCAGAATTCCTTTTGATAGACAGCACTTAAAAGCTTCACTTACATTAAGTTGTAAATAATGCTTGCTCTCCAATCTCCTAAAGAACTGTAGAAGAACAAAGTCAGCTGCTAGCATCTCAGAAACAGATGCTAGTGAGAGAGTCCTGATCACAGGATAGGATAACAACAATGCAACAATTAAGAGAAGAAATTTGAAAATAAAGAAAATTTGACTTCGAATTTCAGTTCTTTCATTTTTTTAGCTGCATATCTTGAGCAAATGCTCCTTTCTTCTAAACCTGTTTCTTTCTCAGATGGAGACAATGATGCCGTTTCGACGGTCCATTGTGAAAACTTAATCAAGTAATAATATAAAGCATTCAGGACAGGATTTGGTATTTTAATAAGTCCAGTATGGAAGGAAATTGCTCACTGTATGATTGCCATCACTATTATTAGCTGTGTCCCTTCTTCTTACATGGTGTGTTGAGACATGGAAACCTTTATGTACTTTAGGAAGAACTCTTGAAGTTCTAACATTTTCTTGTGGTAATGTCACTGTCATCCCACATCATTAACAATCCCCATAACAACTTCAAGATCAAAGTCAAATCTATATTAAATGAAATGTGCATGAGCCAGTTCTACAACACAGCATTTGGACTTTTACATCTATTTAGAAGTATTTGTTACATGAAGCACAGAACAGTTTTTACCATGCTAAATCCATGTTTTCTGGTATTTTATTACCCTCATAAAAATTACCGGGGTCAAGTGTCATACTGGGACACAAACATTATTAATAAATTACCCCTAAAATTAGTTGGATTGAACTCATTTATCTTGTCTGATTAATACAAGCCAAAAATCCACTGAAGATATATTTAATGCATGTGTCCATACACATATTCGTGCCTTTACTCATTCCATAAGCATTTATTACTTGCCTATACAATGAGAGGCCTTGCCCCCAAATAAGCTTCACAAAGGCAGAGGCCATTTCTTTCTCTTACACACACATATATTTACATGTTTTTGTATATATACATTATACATTCACATCTGTATCTTACAATATCACTGTACATGGTGACTGAGAAATATTTGCTCAGGTGTCAGTCACAGAACATTACTACTTAAAGACTAAATAAAAATCAACCCATGACTCTATGTTTACAGGTCAAAAAGTAAGACCTACAAGAAGGATCAAGAGACCAATCCGAGATTGGTGGAAGCCTTGGACTCCGATGTCTAAGAAATTAAATTAAATAATGTCACTACAATATCAGGAGACCTGGAAAATAGGAATGCAAATACTGGAAAATTTGTAAAATCCCAACCCAATAAAATGCAATAAAATGTTCAGCATGCCTTTGACATTATTTTCTATTGCAAAAGTTTCAAAATAATAGAAGCTTCCACTGTTCAAGCATAGTGTAGTTCTATTTAAGTAAGCTCCTAAATCCAGATTAGAAGCAGAATTGGTTCCAATGTCCTGGTTTTTGTTTGTTTTTGTATTTCCACAACCATTCATATCGAATTTTAAATTCACATTAGCAAGTGATTATCCAATCCTGAGTGGTAAAAAGGAAGGCGTGGGAATAGGAATGTTACAGAATAAAAATTTCTGAAAGTTTACAATTTAATCTTGGAAGAGGAGACTTTTGAAGATTCTTATATCCAAAGCATTACATACAGTCATTTGCAAATAATAATTCAGAGACACTTTTTGTTGAAACTCACAATCGGGAAATTAAAATGTAACCTTTTAAAAATAAACTAAACAGTAACAAAAGAAAGCAATGAACAGTTCTCAAGAGTTGTTCATCTCAGGAAGGTACAGGTATTTGGGAGGGGGCATACCTATTACTATATGGAATTAAAAAGGAATAATTATGTTCATTTCATAGGAAGTTATCACTTCTGGATAAACTATAATTAAATATTCGTTACAAATTCTGCCTTCATTCTTCTTGTGGCTGTTTAGGTAGGTGGCACAAATATTCTTCAGAAATCAATTTCACTGTTTAATCTCACAAAGACCTAACAGTTGAAGGCTGGCCCTGGGAAACCATGATCAAGACTTCAGCATGAATGATTGTAAACATGTGTGATTATTTTTTTTTTCAAATTTATAACAACACTTTTGCCCTTAACAAATATAACTGTAACATTTCCTAGGAAATGAGAGCTCAGACAGAAATAAACAAGCCTAGGATGTAGTTTAATCTAAATAAACACTGAAGTTGTAAACCTTCAGACTCAAATATCAAGAGCCCTGCAAATGAATGCTCCACACAATAGACTCTTAAAGCTAACTTAATCCACCCCCCTGAATCTACATGAGGGCCATGCATAACAATGCAGGAGCTAGGTTT